GTACTGTAAAGAGTGTTTTCTGCAGTCGGGTGAGGAAGGGTGTCTATCAGCTGGAGCTGTAGAGCGTCATCTCTGCTACATTGGCATCTTGAGTTTCCAGCTCCTGCTTGCAGCTTTCTCTGATCACATACACGACCAGTCCGAAACAGATAAAAATGAGCAGCACTATGCCGATCACCTGTTAATGACAGATAAACAGTGCACGTCTGTAATGGGTAACATGTAACCAATTATTTAATAGAAATATCCATGACACAGTGAAATGGGTGAATCACACAAAACTTGTCTTTAATGTCACCCATAAAAAACATTATATGTGATATATTACACAAATTATATATTTTTAGTGCACTGTAATGCATTGTTTTATGCATTTAAAACAGTTGCTTCATTGTCATAATGTCTCAATGCAAAAAAAAAAAAAAAGGACTTTGTCTTAAATAGTGTTATTTTAGTATCACTGACTGAGATACTGTTGTCGTTTTTATTGATATTTATTTCTTATTTTCATTTAAATGTAACAAAAATTGTAAAGTTTTGGTCATTTTGTTTTTGGAAAGTGTGTTTTTGTCTTTTTTATTTAAATCTGTCTACTTTTTTATTAATTTTATTTCAATTTTAATTATATAAGTACTAAGTAGATCAAGTTAAACTAGATTAAAATGACAAACGTTTAATAAAATGTTTGTATATTTTATTTTATTTCAGTTAACCTTTTTTATTTCAAGTAACAAAAATTTTTTTTTTTTCCCCCCTATGGTTTTAGTTTTAGTTTTACTAAACTATAATAACCCTGGCCTTTAAAAAAAAATAAAATAAAAAAGTATTATTTTCATTTTATTTTGAGGTGAAATGTGACCTAGACGCGTTTTTGTGCGATTCCCACATTAAATGGTCATAGACACATTAACAAAACATGTACTTTAATGGACATGGAAAATAATTATTGGGTTACAGAAGAAGTAAATGTAATGAGAAAGTTTCATTAGTGGACTGGATCTCAAGAATCTATAGTCAAGACAGGAACAAATCTGTAAATGTGACTCTGGACCACAAAACCAGTATTTCGGGTATATTTGTAGCAATAGCCAACAATACATTGTATTGAGTCTTTTTTCAATCCATTTTTTTCGATTAGTTGACTCATCTAGCAATTTCTTACAATTAATATATTTGACCCTGGACCACAAAACCAGTCTTAAGTCGTTAAGTCGTATATTTTTAGCAATAGTCAAAAAAACATTGTATGGGTCAAAATTATCGATTTTTCTTTTATGACAAAAATCATTAGGCTATTAAGTCAAGATCGTGTTCCATGAAGATATTTTGTAAATTTCCTACCGTAAATATATCAAAACTTAATTTTTGGTTAGTAATACACTTTGCTAAGGACTTCATTTGGACAACTTTAAAGGCGATTTTCTCAGTATTTTGATTTTTTTGCACCCTCAGATTCCAGATTTTCAAATAGTTGTATCTCAGCCAAATATTGTCCTATCCTAACAAACCATACATCAATGGAAAGCTTATTTATTCAGATGATGTATAAATCTCAATTTCAAAAAATGGACCCTTATGACTGGTTTTGTGCTCCAGGGTCACAAATGTTTACACTGATAGCATCAAAGTTCTATGTATGTTCTCAAAATTCCACAAATGTATCACTGTATCTGTGAAGCTCTAAAAATGCATGGCTTCATCTGCAGTGTTCTAAAAGGCCCACTGATGCGCAAGGAAACAAAAAGAGCAGCGGATCTCACCTGAGACTCCACAAACAGTCGCTGTGAGCGCAGCATGAGTTCCTGAGGAGTGACGCTCTCCTCTTGAATGGGTTCGCACCATTTCTGCGGAGCGGCTTTGTCCACGATCACGAGCCGGCCGTGCCAAGTATGTCATCGCGCAGGCGAAATACTGACCGTCCAGGAAGAGCAGGATCAGCCAGACCACGGCGGGAACGAAGCTGGATAGGGACACGGTCCTCCTGCACCAGGTGTCACACCTGCATCCCTGAATGATCATCATGAGTGCGAAGGCCATGACGGCGGGAATGATGAAGAACGCGGAGGAAAACAGCCCGTTCCAGGCCGGATTGCACGGACACTCAAACTCCAGCTCCACCAGCTTCTCCAGTCCCATCAGGATGAAGCCGAAGGCCACGTTGGACACCAGAGGACTGTTGCTCAGCTCATTCTTCAGTCTCGTGAGCCATTGTTGTCGACTTCCCATACTAACAACACCTGAAAGTCAGAGGAGAGCTGGCCAAATTCCTCCCACACATTTGCAGAAGGTCACTGATGCGAGACGAATTGATCCCAGGGCAAGTTTTCCCCCCTCCTGACCTTTACGTTCCCATTGGCTCGGAGCAAAGGTGGGTGTGTCGTTCCTCAGCTCCGTGCTGCGGATCATTGGCTCGCGGCGGGCGGCAGGTGTGGCTTCCGATTTAAATGTTTCTTTCATTGACGTGCTTGAGTAAAGTGGAGGGAAAATCGGCGTGACTGCAGATCTCAACGTGCTGTGTCATCAGAATCCTTCTAAACTCGTAAGCATTGTTTAGGGTGGCCTTTACTCCGGGGAGCTTTCTTTAAAACCATCATTAGACATGCAAGCACGAGCGGGCAAAAGTTTGGACGCAACGTGTTCCTTGTGACCCTAAAACCTTACATCTAATATCTCTAAACTAAAAACCTGAAGGTGTCTGAAATGAGTTTAGTAGACAAATATATAGTCTATGTATGAGTTTCTTTCCTTTTTTTTTATTGGATGGTAGTGGACAGTGAAGCAAAAGCATCATCAGATTTGTGCAGCATTTCTGTTCCTTCTTCAGTAGTGTTTAAAAACATCCCAGAATGTGCCTCATGAACATGTCTTTAAAAATAATAAACAAAGAGTAGGCATGTTCATTTTTATGCATTAAGATATTCATTGTAAGTACAACAGTTAATCAACTTGATAATTAAAAGCGGATCATAAAACAAATGTATTTGATGTCTGTGGTATTTATTTAATATCACAGTATTTTTATGTCATATTGAATAATGCTAGAGGACCGAGAGCAAGCAAATAATTCTTACTCAGCAAAACGGACTTAATTTATGCTCCTTATGACCTTAAAACTTTCTGCTTAAATCATCATTTAACAAAAAGAAAGTGTGCTTGCATTTGAATTGCTTTCAATTTTTAAATGATAAAGAGGAAGAATGTCAAAACTTTTCACTTGTATTGCAAATATGCATTTAAGTTGTTCATTTTTAAAAAATAAACAGAACATTTGATAATCAAAAGCAGATCATAAAAGATGTTTGATATCACAATATTTTCACTGTTTTATTTAACGCCACAATACTTTGTTTCATCAAACTGAATAGTTATAGAGGAAGCAACAAATAATGTATGCACAGTAAAGTAACTGTATTTGTAAGTTGATCCAGCAGATAGCGCTGTGTGAATGTGAGGGGTGCAGCCAGAGGTCATGACTGTGCTCATGTCTGTTAATCCTGACTGACTGTGCCCACGCTGTGTGGATAACATGCACTTTCTTGGAGAAAATCTCTAGTGCCCTAGATAAATATCCTGTGGAGCCCCTGAGACATAAAAAAAAACGTGATATTGCTATGCTTACTGCCATCAACATTTTTGAAGTGCTTGATTTGGAGTAGCATGTAAAGAGCATTGTACATAATGGTAATCATTCATGGTATAAGGAGATCGGGGCTAGTTGTCACAAATGCTATATCTCAGTAAAGGTTTCAAGTTTTCTTCAGCAGTGCTTCTGTTAGTTTCAAACATCAACACTGTAGCCTACTTTTTTTTTTTTTTTTTTTTTAGTTGTGTATAAATATTTTTGCTGTACGTTTTACAGTCCTTCTACTTCAAAATTTCACATTTAGTTTATTGTGTCACTTGCAGTTTCTTTGTAATTATTTGTCAAATTTACTAGCAGTTTTGGAGTGAATGTTTTTAAAGTAATTTTTCAGTGAAGTTCGAAACAGAATGAATCAATTATTTTTTAATTCTTCTTATGTATTTTATTTATTGTAAATTCTGTACTTTAAACTAAAATTCAAATATCACATTTTTGTAATATTTGTTGGGTAACAAAACCACAATGACATTGAAACAAGAGTCACTATATAGTATAAAAAGTAGACTTGAACTGTTTCAGGACAAGTCAACAACGAGTTGTAGATACAAGTAGCTACAAGGTGACTTGACTTGACTTGACAAGTCAGCTTGAGGCAAGTTGCCATGTTTTTTAATACATTTTAAAAGTTGCAATTTTATAGAATTTGTTTAAAAGTTATATTATGTTCTATTAAGTTGTATCAAAAACGACGGATATTTTTGTAGTAGGTTACTTTTTGCATTTTTTTGGTGTCGTTAATTTTCCATTTTCAAAATTCAGCTTGTTTCTACTGAAAATTCAAAAAGTTCAAAATTCCAACAATTCGATTTTGCTTAAAAAAAAAAAAAAACTTTATAGGACAACATACCCCAATTTGAATATAACCCCCCAATTAAATATATGGTGAATGAGTTTTTGGAATATTCATTGCTGTTCAAAGTTTGCCTTTACTATTAAATGCATTGCAGAAAAACCCCACAGGAAATTGAAGTTCAAAGTGTCTCCCTTTAGGCATTACATGTACATTTAGTCATTTAGCAGATGCTTTTATCCAAAGCGACTTACAAATGATGACAATAGAAGCAATCAAAATCAAGTGCTTTGACAATGGCAGTACAAGTAGCAAGGTTTTTAGATAGATAGAATAGAAAAAAAAACAGAAAGATCGTGTTTTTTTTAATAGAAAACAAATAGAGTGCAAGTCTTAAAGGGTCGTGTTTTTAATAAAAAAAAGAAAACCAATAGATAAAATAGAATTAGAATAGAGAGTGCTAGAGTTTTAGGCATCTCAGTATAAACACGCTGAAAATGTGCGCTTTTATTTCACTTTGTTTTACTGTGGAGTAATGTTTCTTTTTTTGATTCTATTGAGTGGCCTGCGCAGTCGCTGCGCAGAACTGACGCGCTCGAGGCCCCCGCGGGAGCGCGCGCGCCGACAGCTGATGATGCGCGCGAATGAGCCGCGGGTGCGCGCACTGACAGCCGAAGGTTCTCCGCGATGACGGACACTCCGATGGCCCATCATCATCACCATCATCTCCAGCAGCATCAGCATCCGCATCCCTGAGCTCCGGACAGCATCAGCATCATCCTCATCCTCACCCGTCCTCCATGCAGCAGAGCCGCCGCGCAGCGCCTGTCGCGTTTCTCGCCGTCTGTCCGCGCTCCTCCTCCGCCATCCTCTGCGTCTGAAGCCGCTCCGCGTCCATCACCTGCTCGCCGTGTCCCGTCTCCATCCTCCTGCAGGATGCTGTCCTACACCGGGATGCTCGCGCTGCTCCTCGCGATGCTCCCATATGTATCATCTCAGAACGGTAAGAACGCGCTCGTCTGGGATCTGTGTAATCTGCTTTAGAGGTCGATGCCATCTTTCTGATGACAGACACCCCGCTGCATTACAGTCAGGCTGGTTTGTGGAGCGCGAAGGCTGGAGAGGAGATTGCGCGCAACACAAGTGGGAATGTTTGCACACAATCAGGGCTTATTTTAATAGTATATCCCTAAACGAGGAGTGTTTTCCTTCGGCTCACCATATTCTCCAGAATAATTCGTCGTGTTGTTTACGCTCACCCTTCTGACATTCACATCTTCGCACCTGCGATGAGGAGATCTCATGACTGAGGAGAAACCTAAACATTATGTAATGTCCTGATGTTGAAAGTTACTAATACGTGACCCTGGTCCACAAAACCAGGAATCTGAGGGTGCAAAAAAAATAATAAAAAATAAAAATTTTGAAAAAATCACTTTTAAAGTTGTCCAAATGAAGTCCTTAGCAATGCATATTACTAATCAAAAATTTTACAAAAATATCTTCATTGAACATGATCTTTGCTTAAAGGGGTCATATTTGGCATGAAAGAAAAATCGATCATTTTGACCCATACAATGTATTGTTGGCTATTGCTACAAATATGTCACTACTTATGACTGGTTTTGTGCTCCAGGGTCACATATAGAACCAGGTTTTAGTCTGAGCTAGAATGCAGTAGGAGTTCTATGTAAGCGCATCTGCTTTAGAAATGGAAAGCCGCGTCTTTGTGAGCGGTAAATAATGAGTGCGTGTCCCTGAAGGCATGTCTCTGACTTTACATGCTGGACTGTCACAGCTGTGACCAGGAGAGGGCAGATATATCACCTGCAGACAAACAAGGCCAGGGTATTCCCTCTTCAGGATCCAAAAAAAAAAAAAAAAAGGAAAGGGGAAAGAAAAACAACAGCAAAGCATCGGTCAGTTTTGTGTCCAAAAAGGCTGTTTTTGTGCAGCGCGTCACCAGAAAAAGCATCTGGCGAATGTAAACATCAAACATGATCTGGACAGAAGCAGGTTCTGGCAGCACAGATGTCTGGCTGTAAAATGTGTAGTCGACTAGAAATGTATTTAATGGGCTTATGAAAGTTTTATTCAATCCTGAGAATATGTTAGTGTGGCTGAATGGCTGTTTTAACCAGATCAGGTAGACAGAGATGGTCCGATGAGAGGCGTGTAGTTTCTGCACCAAATATTAATGCAAAATATTGACTTTCAGACAGGTTTCCCGAAACGTCTGGCTGCTGAAACTAACATATTAATATTTTAAAAGCCTCACATTGTGACCAATTATCTATTTATTACAGCTCTATAGCAGGGTTCTTATATAACTAAAACTGAAACTAAAATATAACCATTAAAAAAAACATTTTGGTCACTTGAAATAAAATAAATGTTAATGAAATCAACCATAAAAACTATTGATTTCAGCTTCCACAAATTAATAACAGCAAATATATGTATAAATAAACAAGAACTAAAGTCAAATACAATTATGCTCAACAACTTTAAACTTTTTTAATTCAACATATTAGCAAAAACTATAATGGTATATCAATTATACTAAAATAATGCTGCTCTATATATTAAACTTGGATCTATATAAATATCTATATAAAATTTGTCTCAGTCTCTATATATAGTTGTGACCCTTAAAATAAATTTTTTTTTTCTTTTAAATGTTTTTTCACCTTTAAAGTGCTTGGTAAAGAAAAGTAATGAATAAACATGCTCTGCACTTATAGCAGATACAGACATTGTTTTTCTAAATTTCATTATGTTGTACAGAAGTGTGTGTGCGTGTGTGAGAGTGAAGGTCTGCTTTGATTTGTTCAGACATAAGGTCAGTGGCTCTCCTGGATAATCCAGCTATTGTTTGATAAAGCCAGCTGAACAGATTCCAGACCCTCTGTAGGCACCATGAGCTCGACTGGCTGCTTTCTCAGGGCTGAACTCTGGGATTCAAGCTCCGATGCGGCCCACTCAAGACTTAATATTCAAATCTTAATATTAAAATATGCCTAGAATAATTCAGTGTTTCCTGAGACCAACTGAAAGCAATAATTCAGAACCCCAAAGGAACAAGCACCTCATGTGAAGTAGAGTTGGTTAGAGGACATGTTTAGTGGTTAGTATTTAATAGCCAGGCATTTGACTGTTATCAGCTTATTCTAGCCAAGAACTGCCCACTTATAAGGAAGAGACAACCTGAGCGGACTGTAAAGCGTTTTGTTTTTAAAGACAATCAGTCAGATTTGAATTGGCATTGTCAGCCAGTGTTTGTCATTTTTGCATGCAATATGAATCAGACAGTCTTTGACTGGACTTTTAAGTAAACTAGTGTTCTCTTGTACCTTTGACAAGGGGTTAAATGCTCGTAGAAGAACTAGGTTTGTAAGGTGAACATTGACATTATTCAAACACTTGGCATGACATATTTGGTGTAAAATAATTACACTGTATAAAGTGATGTTCTTTCTCAGTATTTTTGTTTTCCAATACAGTCATCTAAAATTATTCTTAAATCAAGATGCATTTAACAGTACAGCATTGCAATAATAATACTGTCAAGGTCATGAGTTCAATTCTCAAAGAATGCATGAACTGATAACATGCAGTGCAAATCATTTTGGATAAAAATGTCTGTCAAATGCATAAATGTGTAAATGTAAATTTGCAAGGATGTAAAATGACAAGATATAAAGTCTAAAATTTATTTTTGGTAAATTCATCAAAATAAACTGCTTTTGCTTAAAATGAGACAAAAAAATATGCCAATGAGGTCAGAAAATAAACATAATTTAAAGAGAAAAATATTTATTTTTCTGAATGCAGGGCAGATTTTGCTGCTATTTTAAAAACAAACACAATTTTATCAGAAAACAAACTTATGTTATTTCTTATGCATCTCAAGTAAATGCATCCTGATTAAAAAACAAAAAACAACAATACGTATTTGTATTGGAAAGCAAGAAAAAATACAAAATGATTAAATATAAAAAGACAATTATGATTGTTAAAGATATTTTAAAATAATTCTTAAAGTACTTTCTTGGCATGATTGGGTTTACATAAAATATTGCCAAAGCAATATTACAGCACTAATATATATATATATATATATATATATATCATCACTGATATTCAGGGTCACAAAGAAAAGTCGTATCTATTTGTTGAGTATATCAAGACCAGCCTGAGACGTTAGTGCTGCTCAACCAATGTGAGTTTGGGGCGGGAATTACTGTTCAACTAGGGTGTTTGGGAAACCTGTTTTTATCATTGCATTATTTTTGCAATATGTATGTGACGCCAGTGGCACAGAAATGCATGGCTCCAGCTTCATTTATTAGATCTGAATCCCAGCATTCAGACTGGCTTCATCCCAATCTCAGTCTCACTTCTCACATCTGCACACAGCAGCTGTGCAGCGATCTGCCGCCTTCCCTTCACACGCTACGTTACCTGCAGCTCATCTTACTGTTAATGAATTCATCTGATTGTAGGAATGAAGATGTAAACAGTGTGTAGCTTGCATATATAAAGCCCTGAGCCATTACTGACTGTGCGCTTCGCTCATAAGAACAGCAACAGATATCTACAGGACTGTAAATGGCTTTGCTTCATTCTGCTGCATGCTTCTATTATTAGAACAGACACGAGGAGCGCAGAACTGTGGCTTTGTAGTTATTTTTGCGGGAGAGAATCCAGTAACTCTTAATGGACTGGGGCTTTATAGGGCGGTTTGTGTTTGTCATTCGGTCAGTGCTGTCTGTAATAGAAGCAGAAAACCACACTGTAATCTCTGTCTGATGGAAAGGCTGTATTCATTGTGGCGTGCGGCGTGAATATGTCTATGAACCATGTCTAATCTGGCCTCATGAACAATTCACGGTATAAAGGCACTCTTCTGAGTATAAATAGCTCACGAGTTACAGTGACATCCATAGCCGACAGCCGTGAGATTGAAGGTATTTTCAAGGGATGCTTGAGTCACAAATAAAGATTCTGTCATCGTTTTCATGACTTCTGTTCTTTGGTGGAACACAAAATAAGAGCTTTTGGGCTTCGTTTATGATATGATTGTTTGGTTTTGAGCAGTATGAACATTCTGCTGAACGTCTCCTTTTGAGAAAATAAAAGTGAATGGTGACAGAATATTCATTTTTGGTTGAATTCAAGTTGTGAGCTGCAGCTTTTGAGATGCTAATTACAGTATTAATCCTATTTAAGGCAGATATGCTCACATCTTTGGCTTATGGCTAGTTGACGTGTCCTGTGGTGAGACATGCTATACTTTATCTAAAACTATTTAAACAGCATTTTGATCATTCTTCTTGCAATTATTATACATGTGGATTTTCTGACCTCATATTAATTGAAATATTTGTACTTTTAATTCATTTGTCACACTGCAGAACCATTTCAAATGAGCTAGTGAGGACTGTTAGAAATGGAGGGAACATCAAAGAAATTGTAGATATATTATTCATATCAATATTATTTTGATTAATGCAAAACATAAGATAATAAGATATGAATTCTTGTTTTTTTGAGAAATGTCATCAAAATGAAGTGTTTATCCATAAAACGAGGCAAACATCTGTCAGTAGTCTCAGAAAAATAAACTTAATTCGTATTTTCCTCATAAACTCACTTAACTATGATCAGTTTCCATGTGGATTTTCTGACCTCATATTAATTGAAATATTTGTACTTTTAATTAATTTGTCACACTGCAGAACCATTTCAAATGAGCTAGTGAGAACTGTTAGAAATGGAGGGAACATCAAAGAAATTGTAGATACATTATTCATATCAATATTATTTTGATTAATGCAAACTTTGGCTTATGGCTAGTTGACGTGTCCTGTGGTGAGACATGCTATACTTTATCTAAAACTATTTAAACAGCATTTTGATCATTCTTCTTGCAATTATTATACATGTGGATTTTCTGACCTCATATTAATTGAAATATTTGTACTTTTAATTCATTTGTCA